TTGAAAAAAATAATTAGCCACCTGCCTTTGCTTTCTTTTATAGGTGACAGTATAAATCAAAAGTCCTAATTTACAAGAAGTGCTATTTTTGAAGGACTGACTGGTTAGTCCAATTCCAACCTAAAGAGCCATAAGAAGAGAGAGTGGGAATCTTAGAATTGCCCACTGCCCATCAAGAGTTTTCTGATTCATCAGACACACAGAAGTCATCTTGTTTGCCCATATAGAGACCTTTAAAGAAATGTTTTTGTATTAATACACACTTCCAGTATCATCTCACATTCCCCCTATTTGGTGAATTTCAGACAATAGTATAGCTTGTAGTACTTTGATTAGAGATTCTAGGTTGCCACAAAAGTGTGAGTATGTTGAAGTAAAGCTAGACCTATTCCACTTCTACCTTCTACTTCTATTTCTAATGGATTACTAGCCAAAATGTGCCCAAAACTGGTATTGTCCTTGCATATGGAATAGTGCATATGGCACAAGAAAACACAGCAAAAATGCCAGCTATATTTTATACTCGAATAGCTTGTGATAATATTTACATCAGTGAACACTAGATGGCAACAGATTGTTACCACAATCATCTCTTTCAAACATATTGTGTTATTTTTCATATTTTAGCAGCACTTATACTGTATTGCTCTTTTTGTGCTCCTACCACATGTTGAATAAATTTCATTGGACTTTGAGATTTCACTCCAAGTACTACATATTACTGGACTTGATTGAAAACGACGCTATAGAGCACTGCACTCCAGAACAACTAGACAGAAGAAGTTTTTTCCGGAACGCCATCACTCTGCTAAACAATAATTCCCTCAGCACTGTCAAACTATTTACTAAATCTGCACAACTATTAATCTTCTCATAGTTCCCATCACCCATCTTCTTCCACTTATGACTGTATGACTGTAATTTTGTTGCTTGTATCCTTACGATTTATATTGATATTGTTTCCTGATTGCTTATTTGTACCCTATGACTATCATTAAGTGTTGCACCTTATGATTCTTGATGAGTGTATCTTTTCTTTTATGTACACTGAGAGCATATGCACCAAGACAAATTCCTTGTGTGTCCAATCACACTTGGCCAATAAAAATTTTTATTCTATTCTATTCTATTCTATTCTATTCTATTCTATTCTATTCTATTCTATTCTATTCTATTCTATTCTATTCTATTCTATTCTATTCTAAAAGCTGCAAAGGCATGTATACTTAAATAAGTACAAATTCTCTCTTCCAAGTATATCGTACAGAGTTGTATATGCAAAAGCAAATGCTCATAAAATGCGATAGTTTTGTTTTCTATTTTATCTTATGTTTTCATTTAAATACAGGTAGTCTTCAACTTACAACTGGTCAGTTAGCAACCATTTGAAATTATGATGGATTGCTCGAAAGATACTTAAGACTGGGTTCTGAAGTTCTGACAGCTGGGTCTCCTTTGCAATTACGTGGCCATATTTTCGGTACTTGGCAACAAGCCTGCATTTACGGTTATTTGCAGCGTCTTGCAGTCACATGATTGCAATTTATGATGTTGCCAAAACCAGTCAATTTCTTCTGGTTTTTGGCAATAGCACCCTAGCAAACCCTGTAGTGAACAATGGGTTTGTTCAACAATGATGGATTCAATTAATGACTGCAATGATTTATCTATCCTGCAAAACAAGTCGTAAAATGGAATTAGTCATTTGGGTGACCCTCTATATAACCATTACAATTTATAACCATAATGACCATAAATTGAGAATTACCTGTATATTTTATGAATATGGCCATAAACTATCTTGCAAAAGCATATTTTTAAAAGGTAGCAATAAAGATTCTTATGTAAATAAATACATTATTTATATATGTAGTACATCCTTCTTTTCTTTTTGTGCATTCCCTTAGAATTTTTCACAACAATCCTGAATAGCCATCTTGGGATTTTTATTTTAAGTCCTTTGTTTCTCAAAAGCTCTATTTGCACTGGAATAACTTGGTGATCGGAATCACTTGGTGATTGCTGAGAATATGGGAGCAAATTTACTTTCAAAGGGAAAGCTTCCCTTTGCAAGAAAGCTTCCCTAGTAAGACAGTTTGCAATAGCAGCTCATCATACTCTTATAATTGACCTTAATTGATTATAATTCGTTGTTTTCTAAACTTTTTTTGGATCACAAAATATTAGCAACTAAATTGAATTAAATAGAAGATCCAGAATGAAACTATAGTGAAGTTCTTCAAATGTTGTGCATCTTTGATAAAGTCCATTCAATTTTTCCTACTGAAATAAGAAGTCTGCAAAGCAGTGATATAGACTGCAGGCAGTAAGTCTCTGTGCTAGCAATGACAGTAAATTATAAGTAAACATCTATATGTTCCTAGATGATAGTTTAGAGTTCATCATTTAGAGAAGGAGGACATTCGAAGCAATGCCTGCTTCATACTTTACATCATGGTATTGGTTTTAATCTTGAGTTTGATGAACAATTCATAATGATCCTATACACAGGTAGTCCTCAATTACAGCAATTTGTTTAGTGACTGTTAGAAGTTACAACAGCACTGAAAAAAAGTGACTTATGACTGTTTTCCACACTTATGACTGTTGTAGCATCTCCACTGTCAGGTGATCAAAAATTAAATACTTGGTAACTGACTCATATTATGTTATGATGGTTGCAGTGTCCCAGAATCATGTGACCAGCTTTTGGGACCCTCTGACGAGCAATATCAATGGGGAAGCCAGATTCAGTTAACAACTGTGTTACTAACTTACCAACTGCAGTGATTCATGTAACTGTTGTGGCAAAAAAAGATTGTATAATGGGGCAAAACTCATTTAACAACTGCCTTGCTTAGCAACAGAAATGTTCTGCTCACTTGTGGTTGTAAGTTGAGGACTACCTGTATAATAAAGCATACATTGCAATAAATATGATTGAAGGTATTTCATAAGTCTTTGAAACATCAGCCATGGTGCCGGATTAGATTTAAAGTTACATATTCTGTAAGGAGAGTTTAAATCTTTTGCTCTACATGCAGTGGCAGTTTTGTTCTTAGTTCCAATAGAAGGTTTCCACCTGGAGAGTCTCATATGTCTTGCGGGGGTGTGGGGGGAGTGGCTGAGATGGAGTTCCAATTTTGTTGGATCAATTACGTGGGGAAAAAATCCTGTTATTTTGATTCCAGTCCAGCTTTTTCCCCACCTGCTTGTATATGAAGTGCATTCACACTTTTGTCACTTACCAGTGGCCCATCGGTAAATTTCTGATTGGAAATTCATTTTCAGCATTTATAAAATGACCTTTGGGAAGTCCATCGCCACCACCCTTATCTCAGACATCGTGGAAAAAATAATGAGCTTTATTGTTTTTGCAGATTGGCCAATGGCTGTAATAAAATATTTGTTGTAGGAATATTGATTTCCTGTTGGAATATTTCCTATTTGGATAAGAAGTTTATAAGGAATGCCCTGAGATAATAAATATAAACCACTATGAAATTTCCACAAGTTGCATACTTAATATGCTATTGATACTAACTTGCATTATTTAAAATAGTTTGGGAGTTGGAACTATTAAGCTACATTGATTCTTTTAATCATGGATTGAGTCCAGTTGGGCAGAGTGGTCTTATCCTTCCTGAACAGCTATTAGATGGAAGTAAAATTAGAATGAAAGTGTCCTTAGACTAGCAGACAGGAATCCTCCTATCATGTGAGCAGGATGCTCCTAGTAGATTTATGGAAAGTCTTCAGTGGCACTGAAGAATCACTATCCCAGGGAGGAGATAGGAGAGTGGATCTCAAGTCTAAAAGGATCTAAAGCTGATAACTGGATTCAGTACTAAGGAAATCATGAAGACTGATTTTAAATAATACCTGAGATAACTAATGCCCCTTTAGTAGCAATGGCTTTTTAGAGTGGTTCAGTAAATTAGCAAGGCTTGAATGGACAAAACCATTAGTTCACCCTATCCTGGCCTGCAGTCATGCTTTCCTTTTCAAAGTAGTGTTTTCTGACATGTATTGGTTTCTCTGCTGTGCTTCAATTTGATCTCAATATTTGTGCTCCTATTGAGCATTGTACAGAAATGCCAGCATTTCCCTTTCCTTTTGGTCACTGGATGGACTTTCCACAGCCACTTTGGGGGATATCTACATCAAAGGACAGCAATGTGCAAATGTAAAACTTGAAATCCTGCCCTGCTTTGAAGCAAGTTTCAGGCATTACATGGGTTGTTTTTGTAACTCTGATATGTCGTGCTCAGAAAAATCAGTTCACGTGTACCTATCTGCATATGCACTTTGTGAACTAGCACCTAGGCAAGTGATAGGTAGCTGGTTAAAGAGAATCATCACTGGGTTGTCTAAGATTAATTAGACAATCAGTGAAACAGTGGTGAGTTGTTTTTTTTTCTTTTTAACAGATGAAATCGACAAGTTTCCACTTTTAACCCTAAAGAAAGAAGAGTAAACTAAGGTTTTTTTTCACAAGTCCACTGGTGAATATGCTAGATAGGAAGGGGTCAAATTTGATGGACTCTCAACAAAGAGTTAGAAAAGGTCTATTGGGACAACATGGTCTCCAAAACCTACTCATGGAAAGTATCTAGTGCTCACTTTCTTGTCAGAGAAGGAGGTGGAGGATAAGGCTTAGGAAATTCCTCAATTAAAGCCCACAGTAGCCACTATGTGGATAGAACATCTGAGTAGCAAAATGGTCAAAGCTCAAGAATGGATTGAAATCTAGACAGCAGTATCTTAAACCAGCTTAATTTCTAGGCAATTTCACCATGTGAGACTAGTAACTTAAGATTGCCATGCATAAGATCCCTTGGTCTAAATTCACTTCTTTTAAAAGTAGCAGCAGTAGCAATCATGCTTCATTTCTAAAAAATATGATACAGTGAGAAAAATGAAGTTGGATCAATGAAGCAAAATGTATGAAAAAGAGGAATAAGTTGCTTCAAGTCTTATTCTAAATAACATTCATACAGTTTAGCTTCAGCTGACACTTTATTCGATAGTGATGGGTGTACATAATGTTAGAAATGCACAAGACAAAATTAAGTAAAATAAACAGCACTTTTTCCAGTGTTAACAGGTTATGGAATTTGGCAAGAATTTTGACACACAAAAAAAGTAGTTGGATATATTAAAGATAACACATTTGAATTCTGTGGTTAGTAGCTGCATGTTTGAAAACAAGGCTAAATACATTTCATATGTGACTTGAAACTACATCCTACATCACACATTTACAAGAAGCCTTTCTGGGAGTTCAAGTGAGGTGCCTCATATTTTGTTCCCAGCCACCTTACAGATTAAAAATGCTGTTTAAGAACTGCCTTTCATCATTAATGGATATGTACCAGCTCCTTAGAAACATTTGATTCAGATTAATTCTGCTCTTATGTTTCAATAAACAAGAGTTAACAGGTTTTGTTGTTGTTGTTGTTAAGGGAGAAGAGAGACGCATTTTGGACAGTTCTGTACCTAGCTGAACATGGTGTTCTACAGGAGTTATGATCAAATCTCACAGAGGCTGTGTTCCATATGTCCTTAAAATCCACACCATACTTCTAAAACATGGCATCTGTGAAAGATTGAACTAAGTATATACTTTGCTGTGTGGGAGGGAGTGGAAGGATGCCAAGTATAGCAGTATAAGGTACAGCATGTATAAACACTTCTCATTGGCACGTGGAAAGGAACCTTAGCTGACACTGATTACATTTTGTCCAACAAGGAAACCCATATATTGCATCACTTAGTTCACGCACACACCCCATAAAAAATCAAAACAATCTAAACAGCTAGGGATCAAATAGGGGTATCTATCTCTAGCTTCCAACTTTTAAGTTTTGAGACCAAAAGTGTAGAATTATAGAATACATCAGTGAGAGTTTTGCCTAGTGAGCTTTTCTCTTTAGTTAGATACTTTAAGTATGGAACTGGAGAACACAAAGGAAACCCATTTTAAAGATGTCAGTAATTTCAAGAGTGGTCTATGCCATCACAGAAGTGCTGTTGTGAATTAATATCTTTATTCCCCATTCTCTGCACATCAAAGAACATATTATATTTTGCAAGAAGGACAAGTTTATCCCATCTGTTGATAATGCTACTTTTAAATACAGAGTCACTGCACTACTGAGGTAGTATTAAAAAGGCTTTACAACTTCATAGAACTGATCGTATAACTTGCCTTTGGTATCCATGCTAACAAAAATTTAGATAGCATTGTTTAGGCAGAGGCTCAGTATCTAAGGCTGAAATATGATTAAATTTGGGGCATTATTCTTACCTTTTTTACATGCCTAAAATACCCAAGGATACTTAATTTGATGAAATTTCTTTAATTTTTATGGTCCTCCAGACAAGAACAGGGCTACTATAAAATAAGGCTGCATTTTCAATTATATAGTTCCAACCTAATGCAGCATTTTGATATTGAATTACGATTTGTAAATATTAATTCAGAAGTACAGATTGCATGAGAATAGAACAGAAAAGGGCACAAAATTCAAACTTAATAAAAGATTCACCAGCTGTATACATGTATTATGTACGTCAGTACAATAACAGTGATTCTTACAGATCACTGTGACAAACATCAGGAAAACTAAAAACATAATAGGCACTGCAGATATTTTATGCATAAATATAAACTATAAGCTATCCTGGATATTTAGATTAGTGTAGAATTCATTAGCATATAAAATTGCTGGATAGCTCAGCAGACTAATGCATTGTAATTTAACTCCAGCTGTCTGCAATTAGTAAGTTCAAATCTTGCCAGGCTCAAGGTTGACTCAGCCTTCCATCCTTTCTAAGGTAGGTAAATTGAGGACCCAGTTTGTGGGGGCAATAAGCTGACTTTGTAAAATATACAAAAGTATGAAGGCTATTGCTTAACGCACTGTAAGCCGCCCTGAGTCTCTGGAGAAGGGCGGCATATAAATCAAATTTTAAAAAAAAAATGAAAATTGTCTGGCACAGCAAGCAAACTATCCACTAACAGATGACACAATTTACAATACTTCAGGTAGAAAAATATGCTTGGTGTAAGTCTACTGACAATGCAGTTGTCACAGCAGACACAAAACAAAGCAAAATGTAAAATCAATTTTACAAGTATTTTCTGGCTTTATTTCATTGAATGGTGGCCAACTGAAATTAGTTTAACATTCCTGATTAATGTATTAATGATGTAAAAACAAAGCAGAACATGTATTCTTTGGGCTGTGATGTTAGCTTAAAAAATGAGCAACTACTGAAGACTTAAGAAGTGAATTCACACAACCATTCTTGTTATTTTGCAAAGCTTTTCACGATATCTCTAAAACATTTCTATTATTTTCTGTTATGAATTGAAATCCACATGGTAAAACAAAACCCTCATTTTCCAACTACATTTTTAAATATTTCCAAACTACCAATTAAAAATACGAACAGTTTCTTCTATTATTCATTAAGCAAATTTTGTATAAACTCATTACGCAGTTTTCAGTGGAATAAAATAAGAATGTGATCATTTTAGTGAAATAAAATAAGAACATGCCAGGAAAATAAATAATTTTTCATTTTAGGAGAAAATATTATTAAAGAAAGGAAGGGTCAGAAAAATAATTATAGAGTTTTTAAGTATAATTAATCCAGCTAAAAGATAAACAAAAGTTACATATGACAATTCCCATGTTGCATTTCCTGGATTCTACATATGTTTCCCTGTGTTTCTTACATATAAATAATTTCAACCATAGTTTTAATGTAATTGGTTACTTGAAGTTTGTGATACTCTACATTAGCCAGTTACCAGAAGTAGTGCCCAAAATGGAGAATTAATGGAAAACTGATAAAGGCAATGGCAAATCTTGACGAAAATTTACTTTGTTTAATCTCATCATTGTTAAAATGATTGAATAGGTTTTCCGAGAATACTACTTTATATTCTTGTTATATATATATATATATATAAACGTTTAAAATTTGAGAGCTGGTTGCTTAAGTATATTGCAAAATTTGCCAAAATAAACATTTCTTTCAACTGAATTACAGTTTAAATAAAGATATCCATTTCCAGGCACAGCTTGAATATTTAGACATATTAGTAATGGGAGTCTCTTGGAAGACATGGATATATAGAACAGGGAAACAACAGGACCCAAGAATGCTACCAAAGTACATTTTGTAGTTCTATCTTTTCTTAGTTTTTTTTCTCAGAAACAATATAAATGAAATTAGCAGCAGGAATACATAGGAGATTTACAAGTAAAAGGCAAAATCATCAGGGTCCTTCTGCCCCACATGAAATGTTATAAATGAGACAGACCATTGCACAGTAGAATATCTGGAAGAATCTAAGATCCCTTGCCATGTCTTGTTTACTATTTATGTTTTTCAAAAAGTTCAGCATTTGTGTTTGAATAGAAAAGAACTCTGCTAATCAAATGAATATTTAAAACCATAACAACAAGTACTTGCATGAAAGTACAATATGAGAGGTGGCAGTAAAATAAAGTGTTTTATTAATTTGTTAAAACTTTGTGAATCAAAACTTTAAAATATGTAGAAATTTTAACTTGTGAACAACCTGAATATCTACTGAAATAAAAAAGTGCAAATAAACAAACCAGCATTTTGGACACACAACTGCCTCAAACCTTCACAGTAATCCATCTACACTTTGTAATTAATTTCATTCACAGTTTTCTTCCAAGGCACTAAAAGGAAAATAATTTTCTACAATAATTAAAATTTGTTTTACACTACAGTTGTTACTAAAGGAAGAGTCACTGAATTTCCTTTTGGTTATCTATAACTTAGAACTCTAGAAGAGAGCTCTCTGCCCCCTCCTCAAAAAGCAGAATGCAGAACTAAAGAAGGGTGACCGAAAGTCAGACTAGATTAAAACTGGGCCAATTCCAGTATTACTTCTAAAATCCTCCAGTATTTTCTAAGACATTTTTGGATCCATGTTAACTACTCAAGCTACTTTCAACAACATTTTCATATAAGAGGCTGTTCTATTTAAACAGATGCCTTATTTTTGTTAAAGAAACACATATATAATATGGGCATTATCCTGTGCAGATTTCCCTCTCGTGTTCTAATCTAATTACAATTAACTTCCCCAAAGCAAGGAAAAGAAATTATTTGAGATGACATAAGAATAAATGCATGAAGATACCGGTATACGTCTCTGAGCCCTTATCTTCCTAATAGCCCATATTTGAAGACTAGCTACTGTGGTATTGTAAGCACTTGTAATTTTCCACTTTTATGCCTTTTGCAGCTGGTAAATATTTGATGACTTATCAATGTCAATCCTGGAATTTACACAGAGTAGTGGAAAAGCAGTGGATAAACTCTCCAGGGAGCATTATAAAGTTCCTGTGCCAAAATCACTAGCATTATAAAAACAAGTGTCTTACTCTTTACATCGTGGTGGAAAGAATTTGTTGATGACAAATACATAAAACGGATTGTGAGGAAGTCCAGTATTACATTTTGTATGGCATTTGGCCATATGTCTTCAATGACCTGATTTTAAAGTCAAGTCCTAGGATCTCAAAGTAAGTTATAGGAATGTTCAGCATAGTAGATATGCATCTAGTTGTTGTACCCCAGTCAAATGTGATGCTAGAAGTGGCCCCTACTTCTGCTTCTGAGATCATTTTACATCTACTACATAAACCATTAATTTTCATAACAATTTTTTGGGAAATCCAGACAAACATGCTTCAAATCTTTATATGTCAGGAAAAAGCATATACACGCACCTTAATTACGAGTGAAGGGGCACCATTGTAAACAAAGGTCAGTAGCACAGTGGTACAGTAGATTGTCAAGAAAACCAATACAAGTGAAATACAGATTCATTTGCCTTGCATGTACATTATTGCCATATACAAGGAAGGAAATCTGTAAACTCATAATTGTGAAGATTTATTAATAAGGACCGAACAACAAGTGAGTGCTCCATCTACTTTTTCTAGCTCAGTGTTGGCTATAGGGATCAACATGTGGTCCTTCAGTTTTTCAAATACCTATTAGGAAAGAAAATGAAAAGTTGTTACATTTATGAATCTTTTTTTTTACTGAATCTTTATCATTGGTTTAAAAATGTTCAGTCAGAATTTTGTATATCTTAGTAGAAAACTCTTAGCAAATAGTGGCATCTGATTGACCTTTGTGCTTGGAAACTAGCAAGCCTAGGTCTGAACAATCTTTGAATGTATTGGCACCAGGGCATCCCAAGGCTGCCAGCTACATTAAGAAACTAGAAAAATATCCTGGAAAAAGGCCATGGGAAATCACTTCTATTCTGTTGCTAAGTCGATTCTATTAACGTATCCATGCAATCGATAAGAGTCAAAATCAACTTGAAAGGAACCTTTTTAAAAAAACCTTAGTAAAATAGTTGAGCCTCAAATTGGATTCTCTGGTTCAAAATTGGAACACTGGGCATTAACAAGACTGATAAATGTGCTATTGTGTCATATTTTAGTTCATAAGTCACTGATATGTCATATGGACTGAGTAATGCTGACTTTGATTTCTAATAAAATTATGTCTCAAGTGATGGGGAATATGTGACAAACCAGTCTCATGATTTAAAGTCTAATAACAGCCTGAATAATGTTTATCCCATGCTTACTTACTTAAGATATTATTAGTGGAGTTGGGGAACAGAGTGTTTTATGTGGTCACACCACAATTCTGTACTTTTGCTTCAGATCCAACATGTTGGGCAATAAAAATTGTCAAGCATAATGTTGCATATTCAGTAATATCAAGATTAATAAAGACCTTAGAGTAAGCTTTGAGTCAACCCAAATTATAAAGCCAAAGTTCAGGAGAAATGTCAAAGATTTACATTTACCATATTTGTTGGGGAGTGCCAGTAAGACAGGGGTCTCCAACCCTCAGGCTGGCATGTATGTGTGCACAGCTTGACTCACACCAATCAAGCTGCACACACACACAGGCCAACCTCCTGCTCACACAGCCTGGTTCCCCTCTATCGCTCAGTCGGGCCACCAAGCCACAAAGGTTGGAGATCGTGGAGACCACTGCAGTAAGGCACAACTAAGTCAATTTATACACGTGGGATATCTATCTATCTGTCTGTCTGTCTGTCTGTCTGTCTATCTATCTATCTATCTATCTATCTATCTATCTATCTATTCCCCCCCTCTCTCCCTCTCTTATCTAAATCTGTACAATTTATCCAGATATCGAAATAAATGTTCCCTAGAAACTCACATAATATGACATCAGATTAAATGCTTCACTTGGGCCCAAGTCATTTCCAAGCATATCATACTCAATAACACTAAATGATTGCCAGTGAATAAGAAAAATGGGCATGTTCAGCTTAAAACTATGTTCTGGTCCATTTGAATAATATACTTAAAACTCAGAGAGTGGCTCCTCTGACATGCAATAGCATCACAACCAGACCAACAGAATACTGAAGTGCACAGCATTTCTATGCTAAGAATAGCACAAGCATATACGCATATTTCTGTATAACATAATTTGTTGAATGTCCAAGAAAACTTTTTTCACCTCAAGAAACTCAAAGCCAAAACAACAAAATGAGAATATGGGAAACCAAAGAGTGAGAGCCAGGATGTGAATAAAGAATAAAAAAGTAAAGGTTTTCCTGTCAGTCATGTCTGACTCTAGGGCATGATGGTTATCTCCGTTTATGGGCTGAAGGAACCAGCATTGTCCAAACACAATTTCTTGATCATGTGGCTAGCATGGCTCTATGCCAAAGGTGCACAGAACACTGTTACCTTCCCACCAAAGTGGTACCTATTAATCTACTTGCATTTGCATGCTTTCGAATTACTAGGTGAGCAGGAACTGGGGCAAATAATGGGAGCTCACCCCATTGTGTGGAGCTCAGACTGTCAGCTCCACTGAGAAGCTCAGTGTCTTTAACTACTGAGCCATCCCCACCCCTGAAAAACAAATGAAGAATAACCAACAAAAAATCTGGTAGCTGAAATGGAATTGTTCTTAATCTTAGATTGATTCAGAATCTGATACAAGCAATGGAGAGTTGCAAATTACAGTTTGAATCCCTTATCCCAAGTAAAAGTTTAAAGTGATGGGTGACATAATAATTGTAAATGGTCTGTCAAGGAGCAAGGACTTGATCAGATTTCCGGCACTCTTGGGAACGAAAAAATAAAATATACAAATATATTTTGCACCATGACATGTTTTTGAGAATAGCTGTTTTTATCTTTATCCAGATTATATAAAAGTTCTGTGGGGAACAAAGGGTGAGAGGGCAAAAAAAGGCAAGATGGTGGAAGCTTGACCCATTTTAAAGTGCATTGTAACAACACTTCTACCACCTAACCTTTTTTTCGCCCACTGTCGCCACTGGACAGTGCTGGTTTCTATTTATCAAATTGTTTAATACCATGCATCCTCAAAGTCCACCAGTATTATTATTATTATTATTTGCTACTTTCAGTAGAAGCAATGTTTGAAAAAAAAAAAAGATTACAGATTCAATGCTTCTCTCCCAAGCAATCTTAACTTATAGCTGATCAGCATTTTATAAGAACAGGTCTAGCCTTTTTGCCGTTACCTTTGCACTTTCTGGATACTCCTCAGGGGCTCGATGCAACAAAACATGACCTTTGCCAGGAATGTTTAAATACACACAGTTTGCTGCTGCATCATCAGGAACTGTAAGTTTATCATAACGGTGGTCGCTCATCTGCTGCATTGTCTGTTACAAAAAGATAAATAGGGATTACATAAAGCAGGGCTTCATTACTCTTCAGAAAATAGGGAGAGAAATAGTTTTATTTTTTTAAAAAAAAATCATATCAAAAACTGTTGATATCTGTAACATGACAGTTCCCAATAAGAAATTCATCTTATACAGGTTACAGGAAATAAAAGGGATATATACAAAAGGGTTTCTTAACACAAATTCCAAGATGCTCAATGTTTCTGAAAGGCAAGCATGTTACTATCTGGAATATATTAATCATGTATTCAAACTCGGAGTTGTCACAACTAATATAAATTTGTGCATCCTTTGAAATATTTACCTATAAAACTAAGGTACATAAGATCAGCCATTGTGAGTAATTCATACTATTCTGCTTTATTTAGCCAGAATTGCTAATAGAATCAAATAGTCCTATTAACAAACTCAAATTTTCATTTCTGAAAGGCATCATATTTGTTCCTAATAAACAATTTAGTTTTGTCCTATTTTGTTCTTAGGGGAGGAACATTTCAAAGTATCCTACATTTGTCATATTTGAGATTTCAGGAATACATCCGCTAAGGAAAAAGTTGGACATGGAATAAAGGAATTGATAAAATTTATTCTAGTTTTACTTCCTAGTTGGAGTTTTAAAGAATAAACAGTGCTACTGAAAAAAAATCAGGCTAAAATTATGGCTCAAGTTAGTTTTCATTAAAATTAAACCAAAACTACTTCTAGACCTCCAGTGCACTCTTTAAAGGGAAAGGCAAACAATGCATGTCAAGAATTCAGGCAAAAGAGGAAAAAAATACCAGAAAGAAGACTTGCAGTACCATGGACAGATCCTTAGGTGCAAGAGATTTGGTGCAACTAAGACAGTGCCAAAAAAACTCCCTCCTATTTCATATTCCATTTATAGAGAAGGGATGTGTAAGTGCAGGAGATATGTTCAAAAATGATTATCACAACTAATAAATTGCCGTCTTTAATCACAATCAACATTTGCTGTTTGAGGTAGGTGCCTCACTCTTCCAAATGGTAAGGCTAATTCTGCTTGTATTTCTTGCATGAAGACAATATACACATTTATTAACAAATATTATGATGTGCAGCTTAATTCACTGGATGACAGTGTTTAACTTCTATGCCTTTTGTATACTGGGTGTATATTTGTGTGTATATGTCTTATGGATATAAATGTGTACAATTGCACAATAGGCCTCTGGGAATATCTGTACCTGAATGAAAAATGGCACATAATCTTTTAACAATACCATGAAATTTCTAAACACAAGAGTCTCATCAGCCACATTGGAGACTGAATCATAAGTATCCTGTGATGACTCTTAAGCAATGTCTTACATTTCTGAGGAAATGTCATCATTGTAATAGAATTTCATGTTTTGTTACTAATTAAATGTTTGTGTAATTTCCTACCATTGAATTTTGGTAATATCTTATAATGTAAACATAAAAAATATAATCCTCTCTTTTACAATAATTTCCCAAAATCGCATAGTCTGGAAATTTCAGATTGTCCATGTGTGTTAAAATTAATAAAATATGTGCATATAAACATATTTTATTCCCAGGCAGAAAAATCTTAAAAGAGGAGATAATTTTTCCAGTATAATATGCACACATTTCTTTACAGTGTACCAATTCTGAAGATAAATTATTGATGGTACAATGCCATCATTAAAACAGAGCAGGCTTTCAGTTTCAAATTTAGCTAAAACAAACCAACATCCCCTTTTTTTCAGATTTTCTTCTTGCAATTCTACTCTTCAGCTAATGCTTTAAACATATTTGCTCTTTCAGATGAGCAACAGAGGAAGAAGACTATAACAACCAAAAAAATAAAATAAATTGCATGTAAGCATTTGTCGCTCAAATATTGCCTTTAATTCTCTGCATTAGAAAAGCAGTAGTTAAGTTTCCCAGTCGTGAGGTTGGTGGCAAAGTTGGTGAAGGAGAAAAAAGGCACACCAGACATTATAAATTGCAGTCTTTGTCCTTTGTTTTCTTAGAAATGAAGAAATAATTGAAATAAAAATGATCAGTGTATACTATGTATAATGACTTCAGTGTTTATGTAAAGTCAAAATGCAAGTCCTGAAAATATATTCCCTTCAAGTTTCATGCTCTTATATATGTTGACATTTTCAACAGTAGATAAATCCAAGAATCATGCAACTAGGAGGAAATGTATATATGGAAATGTAATTTCTTCACATAATGCAGGATCCAATCTGGATCATTCACTGGATCCAATCTGGATCATTCACTGGACCAGAGATTTAGTCTTCTGAGCTTTCCTAAGGGAACTTCTCTCTACTGGAATGCTTACATAATATATACAGATATTCCAAATTTTGATTCTTGGAGCAAAATCTGAATTGGCTTGCTTAATTCATAAAGGACTATATTAGCTCTATCCATAGCTCCATTCATCTAGGCTCTGCTTATAATTTATGGTAGCATAATACTAATGTATCAATTCAGAAAAAATAATGGTGGGGACAAACTAATTATAATGCTCCCAAAAAACCCCAACAGAAAATATAATCCTTCTCCCCCCCCAAAAAAATCTTTCTGTCAATCAGCAAGTAAAGAATAGTTGTAACAGACTGGAATAATGTTATACAAATACATTGGGATAAAAAAGTTTGATCACAAGTGATTAATTCAATGCAAATGTCAACAGAACAAAAACAATGAACATTCATTTTGCCAGATCATGCTATTTGTAAGCAGTACTTTGAGGAAAATTTCTTTCTTTCTAAAGATTATAAGAATCACAAATTCATTTTATGTGAGTCTGATTTCCTGCCCAGAAAGATCTTTGCATGACGGATTACACTAGCATTTCCTGCATATTGATTATTTCTGGGAATTCTCTCTCTCTATAAAGAATCATTTTGCTGCATATTCACTAAAGCCGACTCATGCTTTTCTGATGTCTAGCAAATTAATCTGCAAACTCCCCAATCTAATTTTTCCTATTGTGTTTTGCAAACTATATTTTGACATGAAAGGTTTTGAGTAACAAGTAAATGCATTAAAATGTGATTAGGAAAGTTCCTAAAATAACCATCATATTCGTCTATCAGTTTGTCATCCTGGCTTTCATTGTGAGTTGAGACCCATTTCAGTAAGATTACTGAACAATATTTTAATTGAGAAACGAAATACAACCACAAAAGATCTTATTTAAGCTATTTTTTTCCAACAAAAGGGGGAACACATGAACAATTTGCTATGTGAAAAATATAGGGAAATTTTACAACTTGATTAGGCTCCAAGCTTGGACAGATAAATTAAATAATCTTTTCATTGATATGAAATATTAAAAGCAAACCTGTATTGCTTTGGAAATATCTATATTATAAAAAAAGTTAAATTGACTTTTAATTCAACCATTAAATGTCAAATTGGACTGACCTACCTGCATTAAAAAAAAAAATCACTGAATTTAAAAGCTGTCAGATATCAGCGTAAAACAAATCACATCACAAAATACAAAACAGTGAAAAGCTCACATAACAAACCAGTTGCATTAAAATGCAAATCTTATGAAATCTAGAACAACCAAAACATTTGATCTGATGCTCAGAAAGCTTTATTTGTTTCCTCTTCTCTTTACTATTCAGTTTCAGGTACTAAGCACCAAATACAATGTATGACCACAATTGAGCCCAAAATTCCTGTTCCTAAGTGAGACATTTGTTATGTGAATTTTGCCCCATTTTACAACCTTTCTTGCCACACTTGTTAAGTGAATCATTGAAGTTGTTAAATTAGTAACACAGTTGTTAAGTAAATCTGGCTTCCCCGTTGATTTTGGTCATCAGAGGGTCACAAAAGTTGATTGCATGACCCCAGGATACTGCAACTATCATAAATATGAGTCAGTTGCCAATTGTCTGAATTTTGTTTATGTGACTATGTGGATGCTACAATGGTTGTAAGTATAAAAAATGGTCATAAGTCACTTTTTTCAGTGCCATTATAACTTTGAACAGTCACTAAATGAACTGCTGTAACTCAAGGACTACCTGTACTTTATTTTCTCATCTGTAGGCAAGAGTACCATACTTATTAATTTGCTTTTCCTGGAGTAGCCAATTCCAGAATGTGAAGCAGGGAGATTGCTTCTCAGTCCTGGGTATCTTAAATTTGGGATCTGCACCTTCATTTTCTGAGATTTACTTGAATAGTAGGAGACAGAGCAAGCGCAAAGGCAGATTCACATGATGGTTGGCATCCTGTCCCACACCCACACCCACACCCAAAGCCTTAGGTGACGCCTTAGCTCATATTTCCTTCTTTATATTAGACACTTCTGAATAATATTTAAATATTTTTATTAGGTCCTGAATATAGGAAAAACAATTTCTCAAAACAGACATCAAGCTGTCTGGCTTTGACTTCTACCAGAATAATAGATATTGCTGCTTGTTTTTATGACCTATAAAAGTATATATTTCCAAAATGAAGACTTCTCCAGGAAACACACTTTTGTGCTCTTTGCCTAGATCATCTCTTCAGACAGAGTATTAAAAAGTCTACTATATCCTTATACACCTCTCATCTCCTTCCTTGTCTCCTCAGATTTGCAGAAATAGGCATTTTTGTGGTAACAATAGTTCTGCAGTACTCTTAATATGCCCTGAACTGTTTTACCTGATTCAAATAACCTTGAGCCAAGGTCACAGTAGTTACTCAGCATTAACTGCTTCATAAGAAGTTCTGCAAAAAGAAAAAGCCTATCCAGGAAAAGGCTCAAGGAAATGGCTAAAATTGTTGTTCTGCTGACAAAACTTAAGAATGAACATCCTGTTTCTTGGAATATGCACAAGGGAAGAAATAGGAAACTGATCCTCAGAAAAGCAAAGGAAAACGAACAAGAGAACAAAGTTCCTATTTACGTAAGTCAAACTGACAGCTACCTCCGCTTTAGATGCTTAAAGATGCGTAACTAAGAGGCTTCCTGAATTCTTTACATT